AGTAGAGGGCTACAGTGCACTTCAGTTGGTCATCCAGTTTGAACAACTGGAAAACTAAGACTAGCACAAGAATATCAAATCTCTTTTAAACTTTTTAAGTACTAGACTGAAATGCAAAGAGTAACAGTACATAGGCTGCAGGCAACTGGTGTCACTAGTAAAAGCGCAAAGCCAGAGCTCAGCTAATTAACAGCTAACAGCCCTTAAAACAGCAACGTAACACTAAACTGGAGTTTCCCTAAAATAATGAGAGTAAAACTGGAATCTTTAAGTGGTAAGAAAACTGATGAAGCTGTGTCTGGTGTAGCCCGGCTTTGGGTAAAACTCAATGGAAATGATTCCTTGTTAAATATAAGCATCACCAGACCCTTTCAACCTGTTTTCTCCTGTGTAGTAATGGCTTTCCATTTCAAACTCATTTAACTTGAACGACCTTGTCACACCTACTGCAGTAACTCAAGCATTTTCAGCACTAGTTGGAAGAAGCATACATGAACTGTTCATCTTCAGAGATCTTCCTACTGACGAGAAACTATTTGCAGTGGTTCAGCCTCTGCAGTGGTTCCTGCTTTTGAATTATTCTTGTCTGACTAGAGAGCACTCTATAGTCTTTTAGCAGGACAAAATTTGGAAGCATTTTGATTACTCCATGACTTTCCACTGCTGTAACTCCATGTGGAAACTATTTTTTAGAAAAGTACTTACAGCATTATAACTGAATTGGACACCTTCTCTGATTAGATGGAGTTATTAAAACCAAAGTAAATGCTAGCTCAGGGCTTTAATCAATCTGTGTAAGTTTCTCTCAAGTACAATGCTGCTACTCAACCTGCCTCTCACACAACTTTTTCATTAACAAAATATTTACTGCTCTTGCTTTCAGCATAACTGCATGTAGTCCAGACACATTTTTTGTTTCTTTGTTCCTCTTCTCTTTTAAACTCATAGCTAGGCAGTAGCATGTCAGATCTCCGGGGGACTTTCTAGCAAAATAGCTTAAACAGAAATCTTCGGGAAAAGCATAAACTAGCTTTTGCAGAGAAGTAAAAATTGATAGACTGAGAAGGAAATGTACTACTCTCATGAATTTCAGATTATGTGAAATGTGCCATAACTTTACCTACATTAGGGAAATTGTATGAGAAGATGAAATTAAAACCTTCAATTAAAAAAGCCTGAGGTAAATTACCAACACTCTGGAACTACTTGTGTAGTTGTCTGCTGAACAGGAAAGACACATTAAAATTGGATGTAAATTTTGAGGATTTAATTCTAATTTTATATTGTACATCTCCAAAGAGGCTTAAGGATTAACTTCAGTATGTCCTTGTAAATATGAAGTCAATTGGAAGTGTGACTGCAGTAAAGCTGTGAGCAAAAATATATATTAAGTAACACAAATCAAGACGAAAATAGGTTTGTGCTGAGCTTAAAGACAAAGGTCCTCCATTTCCCATGTATCTTCACTGGTTTCCAGAGACTTGCTTCAGACCTTCAAATCAAAAATATGGTTGCAATAAACTTTTAAATGTCCAATTTGCTTGTGGTACTTTATGTCTTCACATAGTATTTTACGTTAAATCTCACTGAAGTCCTTTAAGAGTCAAGTCTTTGGAGAGAAGGGGAAGAACAAATACGGGTTTTCATGCTAAGAAATAGCATATATTCCAAATAATCCATAAGAAAAAGCTCCCAAGTGATGGTGGAGAAGAGATACAGATCCTCTGATGTGTGTTTCAGGATTTCGGTGAAAGCTCTAACTGCCAAGGGAACAGAGTAAGTTATGGACCCCTTCCTGGCTGCATAAACTTAATGCATGTGGAACAGCTGAGCACCAGTACACTGGCAAGATCACTGCTGTTCTACATGCACTAAAAAAACCCCATCTAAATTACGGTTATCTTTGCAACAGGCTCCCTCAGCCTCTGACCTCAGGAATTGCTCACAACCACAGGAAACTGCACCTGCTTCTGTAACTGAGAGGGTGAACACCGGCCAGACCACGCTAATTTTTCCAGTGACATTGCTCACGGGTCAGTTGAAGATTGTCTCACAGAAATATCGCTTCCAGCAGAGTTCTCTGGTGTGCTACAGACCTGCTCTACAGAGCCCACAGGAAGGCCGCCAAGCTTGGTAGAAGGATAAAGTGGTGATGCAGCTTTCTAGGAGAGGCTGCAGACTGGACACATCATCTTCAGCGTCAATTATCAGCTGTGAAACAGCAGGCATCAGATAAATGGGTACCTGGTAGTTTTTTTCCTGACACAGGCAAGCACTACCACCAGTCCAAATTCTGCCCCAGAACTTGTGATGTAAAGTTACATTTTTCTGAACTGCTTTTGTAATGTTGTCTTATTTTTAGCTTCTCTGCTTCTTTATTGTGTAGCTTTAAAAAAAACGTAGCTGTCACCTTTTCATGTTTAGCAAATGAGGATACTGATTTTGTATCAAATTAATTTGATATCAAATTAATTTCTTTTGAAGAATCCCATTTCAAGTTCTTCAAAACCATTTCTGCTTGTTTCTGTCTCCTGATATGATCAAAGTACAGTATGACTAACATTGTCCTGAAACACTTTTTGTAACTTCAGCTTACGTCTGTCTCAAGAAGCAGCAGATTACTGGCCTGTTACTTTTTACTCTGCTGTGTTCCGTTTCAATGGCTTCATTAGAAGGTGGCAACGGCTGAAAACAAATCTTTAATTAAGTGATGTATGCTGCATGCTCAAACACCTGACTTTGTAGCACGTATGTGAAATGATCACAAGGTCAGGCTAACTTACTTTCAGCAATCTTTGGTCCACAAGAAACACGATGCTGTCTTCAGAAATTAGGATTCAGGGGGCAGGGAGGGTTCTAAGCTGGAGAGTGTGTTAGAAAATGGGCCACTGAGTTTAAACATTTAATGTGACCTTAACTGTTTTAAACATGTTTCAGGTGATGGGACATGCAAGAGCTGAATTCAGTAAGGTGGGTTTTGTCTTAGTAGAACAACGTAATAACTTGAAGATTATCCACATGGACTGTCTAAGAACTATACTAAAGATAGTTCAAGAAATGTCCCATTTTCTTTTCTAGAAAACAGGTATTAAGCATTTGATTTTTGAGGAAGCAGACAGAAAATTTACTGGTTTAGTCTGAAAAAGCCTCAAATAAATCAGAACAATTTCTATCCCCTAACACCACAGCACTTCTAACTGGAACATAGCTTACTTTCAATGGAAAGGCGCACACGTAATTCAACCAGAAGCACACAAGACAGAATATACTTCAATATACAGTTACGAGACACCATGAGCTTGACAACTTTCATTTTGGTGCTCTTCTTAAAAAACTATGTTTCTTATTGTTACAAACCTGAATGCAGTTGTCCTTGGAAAGAGTCTTATATATCCAAGAGCGCCTGTAAGTGACACACTCATTGGAGAAAAGTAAGGGGAGTAAGCACATCTGCATAACTAGTAAGATATTATATCATCTTACTCCAGCTGTAATTCCTTCTAGCTGTAAGACTTTTGCTTTTTTTTTTTTTTTTAAATCAAAACTTAACTGCTAGAGTTAGGCAAAAAGTAATTTATTGCCTGAAAGTTTTCACAGTGATTTCTATTTCACAAGATGAGTAGACAGTTGCATGAGGAAAAACAAAGTTGTGGGAAAAAAAAAAGCAGTAATTTTGGTCCTGGAAACAAATTACTGCACTAGCTAGCTGCCTTATGATGTACATGTGCGTCCTTCAGGACACTCCAGTAAAGACTTCACAGGCAACCTTTGGGCCCAACTTGTGCTTCTGTCACCATTCTTCCCTTGCAGCACCCAGATCTGTCTGCAGAAAAACACAGGGTCTTCCGGCAGCAGCTAATTCCACAGACGTGAGCATAACATTAAATTTTTAAATCAAATGCTGCAATTAACTTGTAGAATGTTGAACCCATGGCAGCAAAAGACATCACATTAAGAGTTATTTATGAATACAAACTCTGCCTCCAAAGCTTGACAGAGAAAGCGGTGACTTGGGAAGAGCCATTCTCTCCATGTCCTGTGACACTGAAGAATTTTAACTTTGCGAGCTTCATTTATGCAGGAAGAAGAGTCATGTAACAGATACGTGAACCTTCTTGTTTCTCTAGCGTCTTATTACAGGTCCTTTTTGCTTGCACTGTGAAACTGCATCATGTTAATCAACAGCATGCAGCCTAACATGTGGCTTGACTGTGGTAAAATTCTGAGCTAGTAAAAACAGCTGGCTGATAAAATGTGAAGCAGGACAGTCTCTGTCTATTTGAGCCATGTTAAACAATTGTTCCAATGAAAGCTAGAGAGAAAAACTTGGTGGCTTTGGTTTTTATTTCTTCCCCTCTAGGATCTTCAAGTTCACACAAAATAAAACATCACTGTTCAGTTGACCACAGCATTTCATAGGGCTAAAACATTTGTTCTATGGTTTTAACACTTGAACAGTTTAGAATTATATCTGCAGATGACTATTTGTGCAATGCCTCCATCTTACACAGTTCTGGTCAATCAAACGCTGCCTTCTTTGGTAAGTGCTCATTTAACAAGCTTTACCTGTACCTAGCTCTTTCCAAGATAATAAAAACACAAAAACCTAGTTCAATATATTTTTAGAAGTGGGATGTTGGAGTGCTCTAGACTTCTTTTAATCTCTAAAATACTTAGTGTGATTTTCATTTATCCCCAGTCTTTCGCAAGAGCTTTTCATTTATCCCCAATCTTTCACAAGAGCTTTTCATTTATCCCCAATCTTTCACAAGAGCTTTTCATTTATCCCCAATCTTTCACAAGAGCTTTTCATTTATCCCCAATCTTTCACAAGAGCTTTTCATTTATCCCCAATCTTTCACAAGAGCTTGCTTTTTTTTTTTTTTTTTTTTTTTTTAAATATAAATAACTGGGGTGTCTAACACTGTAAAGAAGACCAG